GCGACAGACACCTCACCTGCAGAGGAGGAAGCTGTGCATGAAGGTCTAGGTAGAAAGTATCAGAACGCAAATCTGAATGAACCAAGGCTTCCGGTCTCCAAAGACTGATCAGTCTTCTCATTGCATTCTTACTGGGTTGGCTTATAGAGTACAATTTACATATTAAAAATCCCCGCATGTTAAGTGATAGCTCTATACATTTGACAAGTGCCTGCACCTGTGTATCAAGATAGTGTGTCCCTGATACTGTTCAGAGATAGGAGAAGGCTCACGTGGTTCTTGGAGTGGGCAGTTGTGTTTCTCTGGTTTTCAGCTGCAGTTACAGGGCATCTCTGAAACTTGGGTGGGATCTCATTAGATGGTGATGTAGGTAAGGAAGGTGGAGAAAACAGGGAACAAAGGGACAAAAGTATACGGAGGTGTGTAGGATAAAGGGGAAGCGAGAGACGAGGCTGGAGCCACATCACAGGGACCTGGACTCCAGACTCAGGAACAAAAGTAACTAATAACGTTTATGGAACACGTACTGAAGACCACGTGCTTCCTTTGGGTTGTCTTAATTAACCCTCCAACTACCCCTATGAGATAGTCTTTTGTGAATGAGGAATCAGACACAGGAGTTTAAGCAACTAATTCAGGAGTTAACAAGAAGTACAGCAGATGCCGAAACCCAGTGAGTCACTCTGGACCTCTTGGCCACCGGACTGTATGCTTTGCGGTTGTAGACTTCACCACCTAAAGTTGCTGGTTCCCCAGACCTAGAGGTTTGCAGATTCCTAAGTGATGGCTTCATTAAGAAATAACAGCAAAAAAATAGCCCTTTGGGGGCCTTAGGTAGGAAAGAGGGATCCTTTGCTATTTCGCCCCACACAGCCACCTCCAGTTAAGTACTGGGTTATCTCTGGGCCTCCAGGACTCACCTTTCTGCCCTTGAGAAGCACTGCAGTTCCTAGCCATACCCATAGCCTCCAAAAGGGTTCCACGTGAGCCCTGAGGGTCAGCCAACTCAAGACTTGTGATCGGGCATTCAGAGCAACGGTTGGTCTTAACTAAAAAGTGTAAGGTCTAGTCTAAGAGCCTGAGATGTGAAATTCAGGATATGAGCCCGAGCACTCGGGCATCCAAGGGAGGAGGAGGCCAGATTGTCTGTTCTGCTAACTGGATTTGAATGCCTTTCGGCAGTGCTGGAGCTCTGCTGAAGATTGAACACCCCCTGGAGGACAACGCTGTAATGTATCTCTGTAAGTATTACCATAGAAAGATGCCTGACTGAATACACTTCCCCCCCCCACCCCCCCGCTAAAGAATATGGAAATCAAGTCTTTGCTAAGATGACCCTTTAAAATATTAAATAAATTGAGTGTGTTTATTTGACTGTGTGAGTCACGTTCCTTTTAGAAAAGCTTTCACAAATCATATAATCCATTTCCGGTTGCTTCTTCCAAAATCATCTTTATATGCTTCCTAGTAAGAGTTTATTTTCCTGCAGACCAATTACATTAGTCAAGTGAAAGTAACTGCCAAGGACAGACCTCTAAAGAGGGTTGTTCAGATGTATCAAAGGTAAATACCCACATTTTAGTTTCTAATCCTCCACACACATAGAGTTAAGCCTGCATCCTAGGTTAATTGCTTTCCCTGCCTGTAGATTTTTCAGTTAATAGTGCCTTAAGTGAATTCAAAAGAAAAAAAAAACTTTTAAAATTGTCATGAGTTGGAGTATATAAATCACTGGAGGAGAAAAATAATTCTTTTGCTTTTAAACAAACAGGCTCCAGGACCCCTTCATGACCAGAACTGAAAGGAAATGCTCTTCCCGTCAACTTATAGGGCTGTTCCACCCACTAGACCAACCGAGCGTGATGCCAGGGAGCGGGGAGAGCTTCCCGAAGCTCACAGCTCGCTGTACAGAAGAAGGCTCAATGTGCGTGCCCTGGCTTTGGTCCCGGCACACGACTTCGTTTCCCAAACCCTTGCACACGTTCACATACGTGGAGAGCTACCCATTTTAGGGCTGTAAGGGTTTTTGAAATTAACTGTTGTCTGAGGCACGTCCCCTCTTACCTTCTAAATAGTCTCTAAATGACAGCTTCTTTGCTCAACTCTCTTTCTTTGGTATCATTCTTCTAACCTCAACTTTTTAAGTTAAAAAATACCAGGAAAATGTAGTCTCATTGTTGACCACGGACTTACCTCTGCAGCAAGGCAAATCATGAAACATGCCAACTCAGCTGGAACACCTTTAAGAAAGTGATTTTAAGAAGTTACATAATGGAAGGTCTAACTTTCAAGAACACTTGGGCGAATTGTAATGAACTGATCTGCAAACTCTGCCATTGTTCTTTCTTACGTCCTTCTCTGTTTCCCCATAATTCTTGTTCTGACATCAGCCAGCGTAAGGCAGTCTGGGATGTGGGTAGGTTTTTCTTACTGGCGCAAGACTTTTGATTCATACAGTGAGTCCTCTGACCTGGCTGGCACAGTTGGAGAATGGCAAATGCTGCTTGCTTCCAGGTTCAGGTGGACCCCTGGAATGTCGGGGATGGGAGAGTCCTAGAGGTGATCTCATCCACTGATCTGTCACGTGTTGGCACTGAAAGCCTTGGGAGCTGGGCGATGAGCACTCATGCTCCACCCCCCATCCAGGGTCCCTTATAGGACACAGGCTGCCTCTCCTGAGAAACTGTTGCCCAGTTTCTTCAAAGAGACTGAACAACGTAACAATATACACTATGAAAACAGCGCTGGCTGTCAGCAGCAGTTTCTTTGAGGATTCAGAAGGCACTTAAGGTTCCTACATTGTCACAGAGTTGTAATAAAGAATATCTATGATTCTAAAAAGCTGCTTGTTCCTTCAAGACGTGATGGGAGGATTCGTTTTCCTTTCACAAATAGCCCCTTGGTAGCACGCTCAGTGCTGTGTGTGATCTGACTTCCCGGTGGAGAGAGGGAGGAAATGATCTCCATGCAACGTCCTGGGGAGGGAGAGACGATGAGAATTTGTTTCTTTGAGTCGCAGCATGAACCCTGAGGGGCCAAGGACCACCCACCCTGTGGGCTGGGGGGCAGTGACTGCCTTTACAGGATGTTCTTAGCTTCCAGAGCTCTCGTCAGCCTGGCTTCCCAACGTGCTGTCACTCATTCATCAAATTGGCTGGATGGGACCCAGACAAAGCCAACTGGAGGCAAACTCGATTCTCACACAGCTGTAAATGTCCTCCCCAACCCTTTTCTAAATCCAAATAGGGGAATCAGAATTTAGGGGAAAGGAAGGTCTGACTTCCTCATCCCACATTTGCCCCTACTCGTTACATGGATAGTCCCAAATGGCCTAGTGGGTCCCATAGGCCCAGCAGGGGCAGTACTCAAGGTCCCAGACTTTTTCCTTCCCACCCAGGGAAATTATTACCGTAAGGCTGCAAGACTTCATAGGGCCACATAGAGCCCTGCCTTGCAGGGGCTTTGTGAATGAGTGACAGTAAATGGAAAGCCATCTCTCTTTATGGCTCTAACTTCTCCACTATTAAAAGAACCAGAAGCTAGTGCGAATCGTTTAAGAAGTGTGTGTGTGTGTGTGTGTGTGTGTGTGTGTGTGTGTGTGTGTCTACATGCACATTGGGGTAATACAGGGAACTGGGTCCTGAAAGCATCAGGAAAAGAGATGGTGGGAACAGTGAAAACAAAATCTATTTGTCAGTAATTTGGTCTAGAGATGGCCCAGGTTTGGGTTTTTCAGAAATTATTAGATATATTTTCAGGTCTGTCCCCGAGTTCAATGAGAACAGCTACACTTGTGATGAAGGCAACCAAGTCCATCAGGTTTGGGAGCCGTGATCTTTCTCTGGCTGCTGACAGATAGTCTGCATTTTGCTCACTACTTCCAAACAAGAATCAATGCATGTACCTTTGCCTGTGGTTGTTTGAGCTCCCACCCGACATAAGTTTTCTAGATCTGATCTTGAAAACGGGCCTGAAATGCATACATGGTGGATTTCTCTGGGGTTGGGACCAAAATTCCATTTTTTCTTTTATATTTCATTAATGTTTTTCCTCAGAGAAGTGTTTGGAGAAATGTAAGGCAATTTAAAACCTGGCTGTTGGTCTAAAGATTAACAAGCTGGCCATTGAACTAATGGCATCGCTTGTTGAATAGATTTTAAAATAAAATAATCCTTAGGTAGTAACATGGCGCTAATTTACACAAATCCGGCTTCCTTAGGATTGTCCGCATTTCTTCTGGCAGAAAGATACGGGAAGGATGCTCATCTGCTCTCCGTCTTTCATCCTCTGAGAAGCGAGCAGTGACGAGAAGGAGAAATGAAGAAAAGCTCCGGAAAGTGATGCTCGGGAGCAAGGCTTTGGGGAAACAAACTAAAATTGACATTGACCATTGATTGTTGACAAGACGTTTTTATCTTCATATTGTTAGGTACTTAAGTAAATGGGGGCCAGGGCAGATAAGGTGGAGGAGAGGGAGGATGGTCCGGAAGATGGCAGTATGCCCGCCTCCGGCATAAAGGGGCTTTACTTCTTCTAAATGAGTGGCAGCAAGAA